TTTGGCCTGAGAGATTCTTTACTCTGCTGTACATCATTTGGGAACTGCATATTTAGGGAACCATAGTAACATACAACAAAACTTGTAGTTGATCTTGTTGGGTTAATAGGCAAGAGTAGCAGCTAAAGGCTTGAAAGCATAAATCCAGTTTTTAACGCTCCTATTCTTTGTGGTGATTTTAAAAGTTGGGGGGGGGAGAGAGGGTAGGGGGGAAAACTGAAACATGAGAGAAGCCACCTTGTAAATTGGAATTCAAATGTGTGTACAAAAGGGTGCCAAGGGTTTTCTCTCTATTGACTACAAGCCTATGCAGGAGAGGATCCTGGAATGTTGAATCATAGTTACGTATCACAGTCCAGCTAATACAGTCCTGTTTTAAGCAAAAGTTTGCTTTTGGGAAGTGGCCTTTAATCACTTACTACAGGATCACTTTAAATGCAGATACAATACAGCTAAGCAAAATTATGGAATTTTTTTTTTGTATATTGTATATTGAACATAAGATATAAAGAATATGTCTTAATTGAGTGGATTTAATCCATTTTAAGATAGTTTATATATTTTGCCTTGGATTTTATTGTTTAAAACCTAAAAGGTAACTTTCTAACTTGAACATTCCTTCTGAAATTCAAATAAAGGAGAGATTGGTATGTTAAAATCTCACTGAATATACTGCACTTTAAGCTTGAGGAGGCCATACATTGAAAGTGCTGTTCTTGCACTACTGGAACTGTTTGGGGGGGGACGATGTTCAAGTGGCTTTTGCTACCTGTGGGGAGAATAGTGAACCAGAAGGATGGCAATCCTTTGAAACTATATATAAATCAAATAGATGGTTTATGCCACTGTTCTCTTCCTATGAATGTTTTGATATTAACTCATCTCAAAAGATGGAAGGTGTCTCAGCTAAGAACCAGTTTGAATGGAGTTTCATGACTTCAGTAAGTCAGATGTGGGAAGCTTTTCTGAGTAAATGTGCTGTTAGGGCTGAGACTGTCTTGGAAGATTATTACAGTACAGAAGAGTACCATTTTTAGTAGGGGTAAGGAATCTTTATACTGAACCAGGAGTTGCCTTCTTATTTCCAGTTCTTCTCTCATCTTGCTCTACTGTTGGTGTTGGAAAGAGATATTTCTAAGCAAAATGTCGGGGTTCTACAAAACTCATGATTTCTAAAATGTGATTGATCAGTGTGCAGATCCTTCCTGCATTACACAGCAGAGAGTTCTATTTCTGCCATTAGAAAACAAGAGAATACTCTATTTAGAAAATGTACACTTGAGTGGAAATTTACTATATGGTGTACTGTTTTGAAAAACAAAAAAGCAAAAAAAAAAAAAAACAAACAAACCCAAAAACACAAACAAACAAAAAAACCCCAAACCAACAAACTTTTAAATGTGTGTGCACAGAGCTCTGCATGTAGATAAAAAGTGTTTTATCACAGTGTGATGTTGGAATACTTATGCAAATGCTTGCTTGCTTTCTGACATTGCAATCCAAAATGCAGTAGAGATGGTGTTGTACTTCTGTGTGATATTAGCTTGTGCAGTCTCAGAAATGATGTGTGTGCATCATCATGCACCATGAGACAGTTTTATCTGTAGATGTTGTTTAGCCTTTTCCTTTTTTAGTGTTGACTTGGTTTTGTGTGGTTGGGTTTTTTTGTTGTTGTTTGGGGTTTGATTTTTTCCCTTTTTTGTTAGTTGTTTTTTACAACTGTAAAGACTGCACTTTCTTAAACTTTGCCAAAGTTTGCTTTCTTTCTCCTTTTATTCTCCCTTGCCCCTCCTTATAGATATACACACTTAAATTTTGGAAGAAGCAAGCTTGTACATACTCTCCTAATTTATCATCTTATTGTCAAGTTGTTCCTTTTGTTTTTATGGCCTGGTCTTACCTGTGTTTATCTTCTCTTCCCTCACCATCATGTCTCAGCATAAGCATATGCTGATATTCTGTTCCATTTCAGAAACACTCCCCTGTAATTATGCATAATAAATTGACAGAAACCATGTAGAGATGTAAGGATCCACAGTCTGTCATTAGGGTGTATCTGACAGACTATGTAGTCAGTGTGAAATATTTCTGCTTTTTCCCTTCAAAATAGCAGCTTTGATGAAAATCTAGTATT